ACTAATATAGCGCAATATAACTGATTCGTTAAATCATTGAAACTTATTCGAATTGCAGAAAAATAAAAACATGAATCTTGTAAACAACTTTATTCAATATTTCTTGCAATATACAAGTATTTCAAGAAATGTTTTGTCTGATACAATCAACAGTTTTCCAGCAGTTTTACTCTGGTGCCGTATACACACCGGTGGATAATGACGTTCGGGGGGGGGGGGGGGGTCTCAAATTCCGAAAAGCGCCGCTAAAATCCGTATCTAGTTTTCTAATTAGCGTCGCATCCGACCCGCCGTAGCGGGGACTCGCTGCGTTGCGAAAACACAGGCGAGCACACTCCCCGGATCCCTCATTATTAAAAAGTTTCCCGCTAGCCGGACGCGTCCCTGTTTGAATTTCGAACACTGTTAGCCAGCCATTTAATAACTCACTAATGAACATTCGGAACAGTCAGCGATATCGGCTTCGTTAGCGCGGCTTGCGTATTCGCGTGGCGCCGCGGCTTACGTTTCGTTTTGGCCCCTCACGTATTAGTTTTTCTATGGAACGGTAATTTGACCCGCACAGCTAGACTAATGGCTGCGTTAGTGTGCGACGCGCACGCAGACGCTTGAAGCACACAGACAGACACGTGACGCCCACACAAACATCCGCTCTTAGATAAAAGCATGGAAAATACGGCGATAACGGTCTACACAATTTCGCCCTGGGCATGAGTATAGTCTCTTGATACTGCATGATTTTTTATGTGAAAAGTTGGCAAGCGAGCGCGGGGTTCACCTGATGTTAAGTGATTACCGCCACCCATACACAATGCCAGATGTAGGCCTTTATAAAGAAGGCCCCGGTCACCTTGCCACGCCAGTTTGTTGGTACTACCCCAGATGACTGCCCATCCTGACTAGCTGCTGCAAGGCACGAATAAAAACAAAAGATTTGAAAGCACCTTAAGTCAACCACTCATTGTCATACGAAACGGCTGCCTGTAAAGTTATAATTAAGTTAACATCATATAATTTTACACGGTAGATATGTTTTTACCAGGAACGCTTCTCTGCTGGTACTGTTTTTTTATCTCTTTTCATGTGCATCCGGGTAGGATGATTCCTTAAGGTAAATCCCAGGTTGTCTGGAAGGAACTGTGTAGCAATAAAAGTATGTTTAAGTATGTCTATCTGTTCTCTGTTACCTGGTACAAGCGTTGCTTAGTTTGGGACTAGAAAACGTTGTGTCTGTGTCCGCAAATAAAAAAAAATAAGTTCTCCTTTTGATGATCATTATTTCTTAAATATTTTCTTTTTTTCTTTTTGGTATGCGCCATAAAGGATATTATTATTATGAAAATTATATTTTTATTAAGTACGTCATGTGCATACAAAGTCACCGGTTGAAAGTGTTCCTATTCCAAACATAGTGACATCGCACATTCACGCGTTTCGTGAGAAAAATATAACGTAATCCAAGCAAGCAAATAAGAAAAAAGAGCAAGGCAAGTGTTTGTCACTTAGCACAAGCGTAAATATATAAGTACATTAACACACAATTAGAACTGCTTTAGAATACAAAGAAAAAAAAACTAATTATACATATTTTATTGTACGCCCTATTATCGTAAATTAGGTCAGCAGCTATTAATTAAGCCAAATAAAAGCCTCACATGGCGTTGCAGGTAACCTATATGGCGTTGAAAAAGATGACGAAGGACACTAGCCACCACCAAGTATCTCCAAAATGCCAACAGGAACAAAGTTAGATGGACTCCGAGTGTGCCACTTTCTTATGTCAAATCCCACCTAGCTCACGGGGCATAACATTTAGGTAATTTATCTTACAAGACAATTCATGTAATAATACAAAAAAAAGGAAATATACAACTAAATATATAATCTATCAATAAATAACTGAACACTAATATAAAAAAATTATATACTCATAATAACTTTAAAAATAATTCACTAAAAATAGCAAAAAATATTAAATGTCAGATTAAAAATATGTACAATGAGCAGGGTTATTTTTTTGCTGTTCCAGAAGATGTTTTTTAAAGATATATCTAAATGATGTTACTGTTTTTAGGTCTCTGATGGGTGGTGGGATATTGTTCCAGCATTGAGCAGAGGCATACTTGAAAGAGCCCCTAAACACGGCTGTTCTGTGCTTGGTCATTAACAAGGGCCTAGAAGAAGACCGAAAAATGTTTTGCTGTGTTGTAGTCTGCCTCCATTCCAATTTGTCATATAGGTATTTAGGTTTTTCTGTGGCAATAACTCCAAACAATAAGCAGGATTGGGGTAATTTTTTTCTTGCTGCCATCTTAAGGACATTGTTACTATTTAGAAATGTGGCTTCTCTTAGGGATTTGGTAACAATAGCAAAAGCACAAGCATTTTGTATACGTTGTATTAACTGTTCTGTCCTCGATAGTAGACATGGGCCATACACTGTATCACAGTAATAAGTCTAGAAGGTACTAAGCTTTCTACCAACAGTTTCCTTAGTTCTACACTTATATAATCACGAATAGCATATATTTTTAATCTATAAAAGCAATTCATCAATAAAAGTATTGAATAAAGATTTATATGAGTCTCAAACCGCATTTCAAAATCAATAGTAAGTCCTAGACTGCAGCCAATATTCACCAATTCTATTGTTTGTCCTTTTATTCCCTTTATAGGCCCCGCTTTTTAACTTGATGGCGACTTCCAAGTACCATGAATTTACATTTTGTGGGATTAAGGACAAGGGAATTACGCTCAGACCAAGTGACCACTCTTTCTAGATCACTAATAATGTCTGCTACTGCTATATTTATTTCCTTTATGCCAAAAGATCTGTACAATCTTTAAAAAAAAATTATATGTCATTTTACCGTTACTACAACTTGCTGTCAACCACCAAATATTAACTGGAAGAAAATGCTATTTAGCATTAATTTTGCCTTTGTACAAACTTTTAGTACAATAAAGAATACACAAACAAACAAACAATTGTATGTCATCTGTATATATGTGAAATTTACTGTGCTTTATACAGTCAACAATATCTGAACTATACAGTAGAAATAACAAAGGTCCTAAAATTGATCCTTGAGGTACTCCTCTTTCAAGGACACAAAGTTTTGATATAGTAGATGTTCCATCACTTTTGTTTATTTGGACCTTTTGCTTTCTATCAGTCAGATAGGTATTGAACCATTGGATGGCATCTATTGTAAAACCGTAATAAGTCAACTTGGACAACAATATTGAGGTATTAATAGCATCAAATGCCCGAGAGTAATCCCATAGTACAAGTATTGACCCTTGGCCTTGATCACGAGCCTCAGTTAAATTTCCCACCACATCACATAATGCTGTAGCAGTACTCTCAACTCACTCAATTCACTATTTAAGATACTCACTACATTGTATAAAACAAAGTCATCTCGCTGTCTGTCTGTATGCTTAGATCTTTAAACCTGGGCAACGGATCTTAATTGGGTTTTTTTTACTGGACAGAGTGATTCAAGAGGAAGGTTTATATGTATACAATGTACCCGTGTGAAGCCGGGGCGGGTCGCTAATGATAAAATAAAAATAAAAAGTAACAGAGAATCACGTCACGGTGGGCAAAGGCGTCCAATATACTGAGGGTATTGGACTATAAGCGCAGCACCACAACAGATTGATAGTCTTGCCATATTTCACAAATATTTCCTTAGTTGTTTTATAGGTATGCTATATTTATAGGTATTTAGGTAGTATTTATAGGTATGCTTTTATAGGTATGTTTTATAGTTTCTCTTGATATTTCGTTTCAATGCAGGGCTGTTATGGTTAAAATGATGATTAACAAATCTACTAAGCATTTTAAAAGCGACGTTCTTTAAATATGATAGACTAAAAATAAAAATAAAAAGTTAGTTTGATTGATGATTATCTAAAGCGAATGGAAAAAGAAAAAACGTAAACAAACTCCGTGTAGTGTACTAAAAGAAACAAATAAAAAAAATTAAATAAAATGATTAATTAATTAACATTCGATTTATCATATTATCACATTTCATTTACGTATACATTTATCACACATTATTTACAATAGCGGCTTGACGATGTGACAGATAATGTATAAAAGTAAAAGAAAATAAAAAACAAAAGCGGCTGAGATGCCACAGGTTAATAAGCAATTACTTTTTATTACGAAAACACTGGCCGTTCCATACGCGCGAGAGAGGCACGTTAAGTCAGAAATAAAACTATCCAATTCGACACGAACTTGAGGATTATATTTAATTGTTAACTAAATAACATTCGTTGTTCCTTTTAAAATTTATCCGAGATGTTCACCGCGGTCGTATTTTGTTGACAGATGAATTATTCATTAAGTCCAAAACGTGTACCGTTCCGAATATAATCCATATATTAATACGAGAAAGCGATATTGCGGTACTTTTTTTGGTATTTACAAAAGGTGGGTTGTCGCTATAAAATTTGAGAATTAGTGTGTAACAGACGCGAAAAAAAATAAGAGATAATAATGTGAGACTATTTTTAAAGAAGATGCAGCACTATTTTACTGGGAGTACACTTCTGTAGTGAGAAGCATCTTGTCATTTTATATTAAGTATGGCATAATCATATCTACATAATTGCGTGATTTAATAAAAATTACTTCCATTTTCCATATATTTTGAGTGGCGAAAAATTTTATGGGAATATGGATGAAGGCTGTTCCGGGAAATTGAAAAAATCTAAAGTATTGAATAGTCTGGATCGATATTGATTTTCCCGGGACATGCGATAATGATGAACTCGCTAGCCGCCGGTCGTACAGGATTTAAAAACGTGCAACTAGATTTTAATTGCCTTTTTAGTGCAATTATTGTAATAATAAATTCTTAATGATACCCGCTTCGGTACTTCGGTATTATTGCAGTAGACATAACGCTTATGTGAAGTCCAAGAGATTGAGTTCTCGCGGTTATTTTCCTCGTGTATGGAAAAAATCACTCGGGTAAACAATGTCTCCGACGCCCGCCGCGGTCCGTGTTTCCGCTATTTATACGCGTAACGCGGCGTATCAATTCTAATTCATTTATTAATATATTCCGGACGTGTTCGGACACCGCGCCGATATTATTCGGCTGTTAAAAAACACGAAAGAAAACCAAAAGGGGCGGAGCTATCATTCCCGATCGATTTAACTGGCGGGCGGTCGGATGAAGTGGTATTACATAGAGTAATTGCCATTAAACACTGGTAGTATCCGAGGTGGCCCTAGTGGCCCGGGGAGTAGGAAACCGGCGGGCCCTCGGAGTCGGGCTATAAAAGTGGACGCGCCGAGGGCGCGAGCTTCAGTCGACAGGCGATCGACACCACGACCACACAGCGGGCCGGCGCTGTTCTGTGCCACGGCGATCTCTACGGACGGTCAGCGGACGACGAGCTCGCCACCATCAGCACCCCAGCCAGCTCTGCCCGCGACTAGCTTGACCTCAACCGGCTCAATGAGGTGAGTTTTTTTTGCGAAGCGACACTGTTTTCTCTTTATGTTCACTAGGATTTTCATGCGATCGTCGGAGATTCATTGTAAACGTTTCTTTTATACGTATTAGTATCACTTGTAAATTATTTAATTTTGTCCGCTTTTTGGATAATAATGAGGCACCGGCAAGTACAAGTGTTAAATTAAAACACAGGTACATTGCATTAATTAATCGTTATATAAAAATATTTTAATATAATTCGAGACAATTACACTGATAATTGTTGATTGTCCGTTTTTACTGTTGAATTAGCAAAGTCCGAAGAGTAAAAATCAAAAAGTGGATCGCCGCGCTTGCTTTTTGGCGCGAAATATATTTGATATGTAGGAAACTAGTAGAAAGCAGTTAAAGTGTTCCGTATTTAATTCGATTTCAAAATTTATTGCTTGAGAAAAATAATTATTGATACTTATTTCGGTCCTATCTGTCAATAGTAGTGCCACAGCGTTAGCCTTATTATATTAAATTGTAGAAATGTCCCATGCCGAATTTTTAAACTGCTCTATTTTTTCAAATCGTAAAAACTTAACCCATAAGTTACCACAAATAAAAGACAAGAATAAAAGAGACCATATTATTCAATCGCTGATGCTATTTAAAGTGTGTAAACAACTGCGAAAATAATGATGTTTTAAAATTCTTCATGTCTACATTGCTCAAAAATTCTAACATATTTTTTTTCTTTAAATGGAATTTTGTTATTTTCTTTAAATTCTATAGATTCTTATTTAAATTAGATGAACTATTGCCGACGGCAAATTTGAAATATGTTAGAGAATAATATTATGTTCACAAAGAAAACCAGAATGTAAAAATCAATGACCTTTATTGTTCTTGTCACATTGGCCAATAAAAAAAACAAGTTCGAAAAATAAAAAATAAAAAAGAACGTGGTGAAGAAAGTGGTGCTATGTAATTATTTTGCGTGCCTTCATATTTTGTGTCATCGTAATCTAGTTAGCTTCTCGACAATCGCTTCACGGACACGCGCATAAATTGCAGCATCTAAGACCGCCTGTCACCTCTCTTGTCCGTAAACGATTATGTTAGGGCAAATTGACAATTTTGTTGTGAATTTGTTGAATGAAAGTGTTCGATCGGCCCAATCGAAATCGATGCTTACGGTACGGTGCTATAATCAGACCGAATGTACTTCGAAGACACGAGATGCTTATAATTGAATGTGTTAAAATCGGTAAACAGCACCATTAAGCGACGTGTCGCGTCGGGTGAACACAAATAGTTAAAATGTATTACAAAAATTTGCCGGCCTCGCGTCCAGTACCGGGACGAGATATAAAATATTTTACGATATTTACCTTTCGTATTGTTCAAGTAAATAGATTTTTAACAGATCTATCAGACGGTATTAACAATACGAGCTCTTCACATTACCTCGATAAACATCTGCCATTCTTTAAACAGGCGATAGTCTAGAATGAACCATTGTAGATCATAGCACAAACTACGGATATTAGAACATTGAAATGATCTCGAATACATTCGGCATAATCTTTCACATCGATAAGAGTTCGCTTTATGTTTCTTTGTTTATTAACACGCAGTTATTTGTTAAACGTAACGCCGTATTACGGCGTCGCCGCGTGTCAATTAGGCTGCGTCACGCTCGATTTATTATACAAATAACTTAGTATAACAGCTATATCGGAACAAATGTGACTAACGCCTAAGAATCGGATAGATTTTTTGTTTCGTTCAATAAATGTTATTCGAATGCTGTACGGATTTTTATACGAACATTTTTGAAGTTAAAAATGTCATAAAAGTTAGAATGGACGTTCCGGAAACTCCGCTGCCGTGTATTTACCCTAAAATTCGTGTGTTTGCATTTGCTAGTACGAGATCAATGTAAATACACGATTTCTCCATACGATTCACTTTAGCCGGTCAAATTGAACAAGTTTGTTCAGTTCACGCTAGCTTGGGCGATTTCGATTCAAAGTGTTATGCTGTTTCCTCGCTATTTTTTAAAATTTAGTTTTTATGAATTGGAAAAACGTTGCGACTTCAATGCGAGTGATGAAGGCTCAATGAAATTGTTAATTGAAATTTTAAATGCTGACTTACACGTGCTCAGCGGTTGAAGATGAAGATAATGTCGTGACGAAACCTGCATATTTTCGAAATGATATAATTATTATTTCGAAAATATGCCGGTATTAAGCTGACCAATTCACAGTGGGGTCGCGTGGTAGACTAGAACCTAACACAGCAATATGGTAGAGGCACTTGCCTAGCAGTAAATAGCATAAATAGGCTAAAAAAATTTAAGTAAATTTATTTCTTTATCAAGAAGATGGTTAATAGGCATTTAGCGAGCTGATTCCTTCCCACGCTAAGTTCATATCACTTTGTACACACGAGGAAATGATGTTCCAATAATGGTCTGTGGCAAATAAATAAATTAATGGAAGTCGCATTTTTATACAACGTTATCTAGTCCCAAACTAAGCAAAGTTTGTACTGTGGGTACTAGATAACTGATGTACATACTTAAACATACTTTTAATTGTAATTAAATATTCATACTTTAGACATAAGAACAACCCAACACCGCTGTGTAAGTTCTGCAGTATTTTCTAGTAGTGGTAATTGAGCCCACGTCCTTTGGCGCAAGAGACAGACACACTAACCACTGCGCCAATCGGAAAAGCCGCGTTCGGAATCCAACTTTCGACATTTGTTCTTTTCTTCGATAACACACCGCCGGCCGTTGTAGTTTTATTACAAAGCACCGTGGCAGCTCATAAACAAGCCATCAGCTCCTCAACACTAGCTACATCAGCGGAGCGGTCAAGCTTATTCCGCCAGAAACTCGAAACTTAAACTTTGAAATTCGAACTGTAGCCTACGGTTGCGAGAGGACGTAAGCCACTGAGCCACCAGTGCCACTTTGTTACAATTTGCATAAGCGATATGCCAAATTGTTGGCAGATATCCGTTTCATAATAAAATACCCGTTCGGCGATTGAAACATGTCGGCTTCATCTGAAAGCGAAGTTGGCATTAATCGAAGGAAATTTTATGCACATTAACCAAGAGAAAGTTGCTTTCATTTCCTAATGCGTTACCTAAGATTTATAATGTAACGGTGTCATTGAAGGATTAAAAACAACAAAGTGACTATATTCACAACACGGTACCAATAATTAGGTTCGCTAAATAAAATATTTCGAAGAACTTACTTACATAAACTTATTCGAAGCTGTTCACGGAAAAAGATTTTTATAATATCCAAGCAATATTATACGTTCAGTTCTAAGATTCTATGAGCATAAATAGATAGAGGATTTATGCCCGAGAAAATATTACTAATAATCCCTTTAAGATATTCTACGAACCGAGGATGTGATAATAAGAAAAGGAAAATATTGTATCCTTGGCTTAGGTGCTATGGTTCGTTGGTTAGTTTCTTGCATGAGATAAATACAAATGCAGAATAACTGTTTGCATCCGATGCGATGGTGTGAAAGTTACACGTAAATTATCTTCAACACATTTGTATATAATGCATGCCGTATAAACAGAAAACGTCAAAGTCAAAGTGTTTTTCTGTTTTTATTTCAGTTTCTTTTAGATTTAAAAACAAAAATAAAATGGAATAAAAACAATACTGTTTTCCCGAATTGTTGTTTATTCGGATGTCGTTAAGCCGTTTTTAGAACCATTTACAAGGAAAAGCTGAAAATTATATTATATTCTACATTTATATAATATTTTTTATTATATGACAATATACATTATGTTATTATTGTAGTGTATATATAGTTTTTCCTGTACATATATAAGACATAAAGATAAGAAAAACTATATATACACTGTATGTTTCGGCATCACTAGGACCATAATTACGACGTAAAGCAATACACAGCATAATTAATACTCGATTCTTGTTACGTCCGATTACGCCGTGGACCAGAAGATAATTTCCGTAGCTAATTAAATTGTATCCGCTTTTTCTGCACTTATTTCTTTTATGCGGAGATCGTACAGTTTACCTTTGCCCACCCCCAATTTGATAACTAACATTTCGCGGTTGATGACTGGGTACATTTGTACATCCTATTTCGAGGAAATTTTCTGACCACTGGACCATCGCCGCCTATGTAACAACTTTCTGACTGCTATCGATTGCATGCCAGAGTGAAGTATTTTTGTTCATTAAAACCTTTTGCTGCCATATTTTTTATTTTATTTTATTTTATTGATATCGGAATAGAACCCATGCAGACCTAACTACGGATTTCGCCCCAACGACCCTCCATTATATATTCAACGTTTTTCCGTGAAATGTATCTCTACTACTAAAACATAAACTGTGGAGCGAATTCCAGAAAATTTATGAAATTATTTTATAAAATGAAATGTTAAACATAAATAGAGATAATAGATATTTTCTTCATGTTGTATTTCACTTATTACAATTTGATACTTTGAGCGAACGATATATTTTAAAAGTTAAAACTGGCCATGTGCGAGTCAGACTCGCGCACAAAGGGTTCCGTACCATTATCTATAATAAACTAATTGGTAGGTACATAAAGATTGCTAAGCAATCCCCTCGCGCTTGTTGTATGGGAGTTCCCCTTAAATATTTTTTTATTGGATACTGTTTTTTTAGTGTTGGTTGTCATAGAACTTTCTAACTATCACTGTTCACGGGAGACAGCCTGGTGAGAGACGGACAGACTGACAAACGGACAGACGGACAACTGACAGCGGTCTTAGTAATAGGGTCCTGTTTTGCCCTTTGGGTACGGTACCCTAAAAATTGTCTAGGTTGTAATTATCTATTGTTCTAATTGTCTATTGAAACGTAGTAATTAAAAGTTATCAGTAACGAGTTAGTCCAATTAAAACTACAAAATCTTTCCAAATCAATGCTTTGTTTATGTACACCCGAACTTTCCACAGAAATTGGATTTACTAATTAACAGAGATTAAT